GGGCGGGACTACGGCTCCCGGCGTGCCCCGCGCCCGGTACACCGTGAGGGGCGGGACTACGGCTCCCGGCGTGCCCCGCGCCCGGTACACCGTGAAGGGCGGGACTACGGCTCCCGGCGTGCCTCGCGCAAGCCGCCCGCCAACGGGAGGCACCGCCCCCGTGACGCTCCCGCGGCGGAGACCACGCCCCTGGACAGAGACCACGCCCCCCGGGGGGCGGTGTCACGATACCGCCCGAGGTCCCGCCCCTCTCTAGGCCCCGCCCCTAAACCCCGCCCCTCCTGAGGCCCCGCCCCCGGCCGGTTCGCGGCACCGGGCGGGACCGGGCGGGACCGGGCGGGACCGGGGCGGCCGCAGCGCCCCCTGGCGGAGCGGCAGCACCGGGACCCGCGGCACGGCCCGGCTCCGACCCCGGCCCGTCCCGACCCGTGCGGCTCCGGCACCGAGCCTCGCACCGGGGCAGAACCGGCACCGGCCCTTCCCGGACAGCGCCGAGCCCTTGTCCCAGCGGCAGCGAGCGCTCACCGGGGGTAGCGGACCGGACCGGAGCGACCGTTCCCCGGCCGGCCGCCGCTGACCCCTGTCCGGCCGGCCCGACCTTGTCCAGGCCGGAGCGGAGCCCCGGGGCCGCCGCTCCCTGCCCGCTCCCGGTGCCGCTCCCGGTACCGCTGCCGGTGCCGGTGCCGGTCCCGCCATGGCGGCGCCGCTCGCCCCCGCCGGGTTCCAGTTCGCCATCGACCGCGGCGGGACCTTCACGGACGTGTTCGCCCGCTGCCCCGGCGGCCGCGTCCGCGTCCTCAAGCTGCTCTCCGAGGACCCGGCGTACCGGGACGCGCCCACCGAGGGCATCCGCCGCGTCCTGCAGGAGGTGCGAGCGACCCCCGGGCCCCGGGAGCGGCGGGGATAGCGGGGACACTCAGGGGGGACAGCGAGGGGACACGGCGGGGGGACAGCGGGAACACATCGGGACCCCCCGAGTGTCCTGCTGGGACCCCCGGGACACGGCGGGACCCCCGGGACCCCCCTGAGTGTCCTGCTGGGACCCCCGGGACCCCCGGGACCCCCGGGACACGGCGGGGACACGGCGGGATCTCCGGGACCCCCCGAGTGTCCTGCTGGGACCCCCGGGACCCCCGGGACACGGCGGGGACACGGCGGGACCCCCGGGACCCCCCTGAGTGTCCTGCTGGGACCCCCGGGAC